TGATAAAATAGAACATAAACTTCTCTAATTGAGGTTATAATTACTAGGAAAGTAGAACTATTTCATTGCTGAAAAGGCATCGATTATTAACCCCCTTTCTCCAAGGCCACATCATTTATTCAGAAGCCTTTGGAGTACTAAGAAACTGCACATGTCTATGGGTATGCATATGCTTGTATGTATTTGTGTTATTTGGGTTTTGGGTTTTTTTTTGTGTTTTCATCCAAACAGACTGTCACTACCTTTAAAAAGTCTCAGATTTTCTCTGACTTAACTCAGATTTCCAGCTAAACTAGTGTATCCACATGATCAAGCTGAAACCAGCCAAAGTAATCAGGTCAGTAGGCACAATGGTAATGAATCAAAAAGCTGAAAAAGCTCCTAAATTGCTATTTCATTCTTCAACACACAGGCATGGATATCAAGGTTTAACTGCAGCAGAAGGACTTATCTATTTTATTTGAGAAACACACTTCTCTGAAGCCCTCTATTAGTCAATATATCAGCATGTTCATGTTTTATGCTGTTGTTTTTCCAGTATAATGTTGGAAAAGAAATAACTGCCTCATGACACTGGGGTGTATGCCTGTAAAGTTTGAAATGCAGTTATGGTATTTAGCCTTTGGACTGGGGTAGAACTTTCTTCACAGTGGATAGCACAGGACTATGTTTTGGATTTGTGCTGAACACAGAGTTGATAATGCAGAGATGTTTTTGTTATTGCTGAGCAGAGCTCACACAGAGCCAAGGCCTTTGCTGCTTTCTGTACTGCCACACTGCCAGGGATGTTGGGGATGCATGGGAGATTGGGAGGAGACACAGCTGGGACAGGTGACCCAAACTGACCAAAGGGATATTCCATACCATAGCACATCATGCTCAGTATATAAAGTGGAGGAAGAAGAAGAAAGGGGGGGAGTTTGGAGTAATGGCATTTGTCTTCCCATGGAACTGTTAGATGTGATGGGGCACTGCTGTCCTGGAGATGACTGAACACCTCCAGCCCATGGGAAGCAGAGAATGAATTCATTGTTTTGCTTTGCATATGTGTGTGGCTTTTCT